TATCTTTTCTAAGTATTTTATTCTATTGTTGTATTTTATTCTATAGTATTTTTTATTGTATTTTAATGTACCTGGCTGCTATGACGACCCAATCTATCTATAAGAAATTAGAATTTATTTGTAAGTAGCATAAAATAGAATTGCTCAAGTAATTAATCAATTAGGTGAACAATTCATTAATTGCACTCAAGTATCAACTGTACTTCAGTGCAGTGCAGGAGTATGTTAGTGAATATACATGAATATTTTACTCTTCACCACTAGTTTGTGTACTTTATTCACCACTGCTTTTCTGCCACCTCTTTATTTCTCCATTCGCTTCACCTGGTGTTTGATTATGGTAATTTGGATGTATTTACACTCTCACACACACTGGATGGCATCATTAAAGTTTGATCTGCCAGTGCGGTACAGCAAATTACGCATGCGCACAGCGCGTTCCTGGGCTTCTAACTGGCGCATGCGCACTTACAAATCCCCAGAACCAGCAGCAGCAGCGGTAGTTCAGGTCAGTCGGTCCAGTCAGCAGTCATCCACGCATCTATCTATATTCCCTTTTCTTAAATTAGCCACTTTAAGCTTCGCGATACCGCCCCCAATTTCAGCCTCGGTACGGAGCCGCCAGGCCGGGACAGAGACGGAGAGAGAGGCCTCGGCCATGGAAGCGCTCGGACCCGGTAAGAAAAATAGAAAAGGAAAATAGAGACAGCCGAGCGAGGAGCGGGGGAGAGAGCGAGCCTGTGTGTGGGACGCGTGTGCGCAAATGCGTCGCTTCACTGGGGGCCGCGGCTGCAGCGAGGCCTCGACGCGCTGACGGGAAAACAAACCCGAGGCCCAGCCCGTGTAGTCCCTGCACACACACACATTTATATACATATATATGTGTGTGTGTGTGTGTGTGTGTGGGGCTTTATTTACACCGAGCGGAAGCCACGTTGTTTCTTTCTGTACGCGGAGGCTCGGTGTGTGTGTGTTGTTGTTGTTTATTATCTGTTATCCTGCAAAGGTCTGCGCGGTTTTTCGTGTGTTATTTATGAGAAGCGACGCACAGCTCCGTCGTGTCGGGGCTGGCATTGTGTGAGTGGGGATTTAACTAGGACCTTCCTTCCTCCTTCCTTCCGCGTCGTGGTGTGTTTACGTTGTTTGTTCACGATGTGTGTCGTGTTTTCTTTCTTTCTTTCTTTCTTTCTTTCTTCTCTTTGGACGCTTAAGTGCGACCTCATTTCTACACGGAGACCTCACAATCCGCTCGAAATGGGATCCAAAACAGCCGACCTGTGTCAAATACTCTCCTTCTGCTACACCACCATCTACGTTTGTACCATCGCCATCAGGAACAGTGCGTCTCCTCGGGCTGCCCTCGTCCAAGATGACAGCGATGGGTGGGAAAAAACAACAACATAAACGCCAATAAAACACACGTTACTGGCGTTAAATGAGCAGACGTGCGTGTTTTTTCATTTTACAGTTGTGGTTTATTGTTTTTTTTTTTTTTTTAATGCGCCTGTGCGGGTTACAGCAGGGGAGGGATGGCGCTTTTTATCGATCACATCTGCGGGGCCAGCTCCATATTATCATCTCCTATATGATAACAAAGGCACTTATTTTGCAGCGATCTGTGATGAAGCATGCGGAGATAAAACCGCCACACACCTGTACACCCGGAGACACAACGTCGTTTGTATTGTCCCAGCATGCAGAATGTGTGTTTACCTCCTTTTTATATTTCTTCTACAGTGTCTTCATTTTGTGTGTGAAATGCGCCCTTTCACACAGGAGGAACTGCAGCTTGCAGAGCAAATCATTTTTCTTGTTTCTCTTTTTTTTTTTTTTTTTTTGCCACAGTGAAGCAGTTGTTTATTTTTGTTGAATTGCTCCATGTCCACACACACACATTGCTCACATGCTCTAGAAGAAGAAAAGGTGGTGGCATTAGGACCAATGTAGATGTATTATTTAAAGGGAGGACATTTGCTTCAGTAGCAGTGTTTCAAAAATACATTTTAAACAGATGTACATGCTGTGCGAGGGGGGTCCAGGGGAATGTTTGGAGACAACACTGTTGTACAACCGTCCACAGGTGTGTTTGAGCCGTGGCAGCCTCATTGTCACACATAATCAGTGCAATCAGGTTTTTATCTATGATGACAGCAGCTGCTACATTGCAAATTTCTCCTGATCCGTCTGAGGTTACCTGCCAGCCGGCTTCATTTTTCAGGCAGGAATCTTACTTAATCAATGTTTACCTTGCGAAGTGGAGCGCAAATGCATGTTTTGCCATTGCAGATGTTATTTAACTTTACATTAAGAATGATAAATGGGGATACAACAATGTGATTTGCATCCAGTACCAATGTCAGACCTTTATACACTAATATTTTACCCATCAGGAGCCTAAGTAGTGTGCACAACCTGCTTTTTTTAAGATTACCTAACATATCCAGCAGCTGTATTAAGTGATATACACTTTGACAAATAAGATCACGCTGTTTAAATTCTGCAATCAGCCAATTAGCATCAGCAAAGTGAGAACAAGAATGATGTATTGAGAAACAAACTAAAAAATGATATCCAACACTGCAAAGAATGCCCCAAATGAGAACAAAGTGTTCACACTGTGAATATTGATTCAAAATGTGCATTTGTCAGCCTCCCCGTGTTCAGTTTTAGAGGGTTTCTTCAGAAACATGCAGTTTTTTGGCTTTTATTTTAGGCAGGTTGTGTGTAAGGATGTGATGAAGGCACAGGGTGTCTTCACAAAGCATTTGGTTTAATCTTTATTTGTTTTTAATTTCCAGATTTGTGAGGTGCGACTGTGGCGTCAAGCGGCGTTCAGAAACAAACTGAAGCACAAATGCACAGATTGTCACAGGAAAGACGTTGATAGAGGCTGACAGACAACAATTCAGTTTAGGTGGTGTGAACGGAGGCAACGATGAGCCAACTCGAGTTGAACATATTTCTACTTAAGCGAGAAAATCACGATTATCCCTAAATAAATGACTTTATTTCATGAACAGAGACGGGGAGAAAAGCCTGGAGGAAAACAAATTAAACTGTAAAATTTGAGAATGTTTGATGATAATCAGTGTGTTACACATAGACTGGGCATGTGTGTTATTCCAGCAAACAGCTGTACTGGCAGTTGGGAAATGCGTCCGTTGGCTCTTTGTGGTCCATGAACATGGGCTGCACAGGTGGAATTTATGTGCAGCGTTAAAGTCAGAATAAGCTGCTCCTGAAGCAACAGCTAGGCATAAAACGTCTCTACACTGAGGGGCGGATATGTCCTCCTTATGAATGGTCTTTCTCAGTACTGCTGCTTTTCCACAATCTAGTGTAGTACCTTAATCCAGGTGATATGCAGGTGTGGGCGTCAGCGCGCGCTCCATGCTCAGTGCCGCTAGTCTCTGACTCATCACCAGGCCAAGCCATCATCCTCATGCTTAGCTTAAGCCCGGCTGTCTCTCTGCTTGATCACACTGTGGTTACCAGGGACACGCATAGCATTAGTAGGCTCTACAGTGCCCGAGTGGCAAACCTGTCCCTCGCAAATGTGAGCACACGTTAAACGTTGGATCGGTGGAGAGAAAACTCTGCGTAGTAGGGGCAGGAAGGTCAGCACTCTTTGTGCTGTGTTTGTGTTGCTCTTTGAAGACGCGAGTGGTCAATTTTGGATCCAAGCTGAAAGACGCACGCAGACTACATAAGGAGCAGGAAGACTTGCTGGCCTCCAGTGCATCAGTCATTTTCTGCGCCAGGAAAAGCTAATTTCACTTCCTCTGTTACTCAAAGTAGATGCAGCTCTGTGTCACTGGGAGCAGCAGCATAAGATCATGCAGGAAGCTTGCTTGACGGGTTGCTTTAAATGCCACCTTTTGACAAGTCTGCAGGGTTTCTTTTTATTTAAAACATTTTATTGATAAGCTATTATGTCAAACAAAGGATTTAGAGACTTTATGTGCTACAGTTAAGACTTGCAAGACTTCAATAATGCATGAAGAAATGTATAAAACCCACAATTGGCATACAAAATGTACATTTTTATGAAGACTAGACTAATGAACATTTAAAAATTGCTTGTGGCATTCATGCACATGAAAAAGGCATATTGAGAAAAGCAAACCGTTGTCTTGTAGATGGGGCATAATGTCATTTTGTCCCGCTTTAATTTCTCGTACTCTGCTATTTTGGATTGCCTGCGTGGTCATGTGATGTTTCTCCTGAACCATCTCGTGTCAGGAGCTGTTGGTGATATATATATATATATATATTTTTTTTTTTTGTCTGCTTGTCTGTACCCATATTTTCCCCATGATAGATTTTTGTTGTGGCACTAAAATATTTACATGAATGTAGGCCATGTTATTATTTTTTTTCCTCATCGTAGAGGCAGTGCAAAACTGAAGTGACCCAACATTTACTCCAAGCGTTACTCTGGTTCAGGGTGAGGCAGCCAGCGGCTTTTTAGCCCCTTTCCTGTGGCTCCCTGTGGCTTTCACAACAAAAATTCAATAACGTGTTTTTTTTTTATTTTCAATATATTTTTGCTCTGGCGTGATGTATCGCGCTCAGAGAGGATTATCTCTGGGTATCTTTTTTGGAACACAAAACAGAATGTCTCTTTTGATAGAAATGGTGGCCGACCCATGCTCTCAGTTCCTTATTTGAATACAACATACCCATTCTTGTTCGTGTTTGCTTCTTGATTTTTGTTTTCATGTCATTTGGGTTTGGTAAGATTAATTGATTAGTTGATGGGCATAAAAATAACTTTTTTAAGCAAAAATAGTGAAGAAAGACTGTTTTCAGCTTCTCACATGAGAGGATTTTCTGTCATATCATTGACAGCTGAATATCTTTTGGTCTTGGGCCATTGGTCAAGACAAGAGACAAGACATTTGAAGTCCCATTGGGGTTTTTTCACTATTTTTTTCAGACGCTAAACAGTTATTCCCACAATTATTGGTTGCAGCTCTGTATTGTGCTTCTTCATTCTGGTTGATCAGCACACAAACTAACCACAGATGTTGCAGAAAGAAGAAAAACAACAAACCTAATCAATTGCATGGTGCAAGTGAGAAACTAATTTAGAGCTGAAATGATTGGTCTACTAGCTGATTGATGGAAAACTAATCTGCTACCGTTCTGATAATTAAATTACTAATTTCAGCCAAAAACCTCCTTGTGTCAGTTGTGAGAATGTGTTGCTTTTTTAGTACTGTAGTTTTTGGCTGTTGGTCAGACAAACAAGCAATCTGAAGATGTCAAGTTGCGCTTAAGGACTATTTTGACATTTTAAAGACCGACCAATGAATCCACTAATTGAGAAAATGATTGGATGGAGATGAATTGATAATGAAAATAATTGGTAGTTGCAGCCATAAACTCCTTATTTAAAAACCTCAGGCGGCTCGGCAGTGTAGTAGTGGTAAGTAGATGGGTTGTGGAGGGAAGGATGGGTTCAGGCATTTCTTGTTGAGACACACACATATCTAAGAGTAGTAGTGTGGCAGCTGAGGAGGCTATATATAGGTCCAGCTATGTTTTTGGTGAAAGTGGAAGAGGAAGACCTTGAACTCACTGCACCTCTCTCACACAGAGACCTCTGCAGTACCTGTTTGTGCGCCCAGTGAGCAGAAAAAATAAGATACCCATGTTCAATGTCAGACAATTCAATACATTAGACTTGCGGTATGAATTAGCCTCGTGTGGTGTAGCATTAAACTGCGTTTCCGCTCAATTTTTTGCCCACCCCCATAAACATGGAGGACAAAATGTTATATAGACACATTTTCCTGCTTGTAAAGCTTTCCGTGCACGCCATCAAAAACATACCAAACTGGAGGCATAAATGCATGCACTGTTACTATTGAATTGAAATGCACTTTACCGTGCTTGTGATGCATAATGTAGAATTATACACAATTTTCAGCCTTCAGCAAAGCGTAGAACACTTGGTACGCCTTTTGTTGCCATCAGTAACAAGGCCAGTAGGACAAAGTAGAGTGAATCATCAGGTGATTTCAATCCAAGTCGTGACAAAGAAGAGCAGAATGCAACAAACAGCTTCTTATTTGAGACTGTATCATAAACATAATGATGTAGAAAAGCTGAGTGATGTTATAATCAAGCTAATGGTTTATTTGTATGATAGAGGAGGAGGGGGAGGATAAGGGGGAGGAGTGGGTAGCAGGGGAGATGATTTGGGGCCCAGGCAAGATGAGGGCATGTTCGGAAGCGTATTTCCAGGAAGCGATGGGGAGGGTCCCGATTGTCTGTGCTCTCGCGCTTCACTTGCTAACTGGAGCGTGTGGGTGCAGGGAGTTCAGGAGGACCCCCGCAGTCCCCTAGCTGTCAGTTGACAAAAGCATTAAGCAGCCTCCTCAAGCTTCCTTCAACGCAATATTATTTTAACTTTGTTTATGTATATATATATTTTGCCTTTGGAGTATGCTCTCAATCATTCGCCTGCTTTTGTCCCAACTAAACAAATTCCTTTTTGAACATTTTGCAGACACTCTTGTACAGAGTGAGGACCAAAACAACAGATCATGGAAGATTTCAACAGAGCAGGCATCACAGTAGCTCCTTCCTTCCATGTCAATGAGTCGTGTTGATGTAAGAGATAGATGATGCGTCGTTATTAGGTTTACTTGTAGCTAGATGAGGCCCGAGGTCTCTTTTAACTGGTGACATAAGCACTGCAGCCATTGTTTCCCTCCATTGCCTGCAGCTTTTTAATGCTACAATTTAAGACTCGTAAGCACCACACCTGTGTCAGGTACCCGTGTACATGCACATGCATACGCTGTATGTAATGTGATGATTGAGATGTATGTGTGCGGCGTGTACTGTGTGTAACGGTAATCCCAGACTCTGTGTGTGGCACTCCTCCATATGGCGCTGCTGCTGTCTGTCTGAGAGGAGCTCGGTCTTTGTCTCGGCGTGAGGGGTGGGCGCCCTGTGTGTCTGGGTGGAGCTGGGGGGCGGGCTGAAAGATAATTGGAGGTCATTGTTTCGCCAGCCCCCTTGTTGACCCATGTAGGTCAGGGGCCAGAGTTACGGATCACTCAAAGCGTGTATGTGGGTTTCTAAGGCCATTTCAGTGCATTCAAGCAGGTGTCACTGATGAGATTGTTTGCAACAAGCTTGGCGTTGCGTCGCGCACATTCATTTTTAAAATTCGACATTGAGTGCAAAGATGAGCACACTCTCGCTGTCGCCACCTTTTGTTCACATTCAAAGTAAATGGCTAACGTGCTTCATTTGAAGTCTGTTAAAATGATATTCATGCAAACTAGTGTCAGCAATGTCAATAAAAAGCCCGCATAAACTGTAAAATGTGATAAAACCAATAAGTAACGTTATGTTACGACATATTTCAGTACAATCACTTTCCTTTCTCCGCTCTCTCTAGGCCCGCCCGCACCAACCTCTCTGTTTCAGCCTCCACGGCGTCCCGGCCTTGGCACGGTGGGAAAACCCATCCGGCTCCTTGCCAACCACTTCCAGGTGCAGATTCCCAAGATTGATGTCTATCACTATGATATCGACATCAAGCCTGAGAAACGGCCTCGGAGGGTCAACAGGTAAATTAACAGTCAAGTTTGGGCAGAAAATGCGCACAGGGATGGGGAGGTTTTGTTCATTGGAGGTTTTGTCTTTTTGATATTAATGATTTTGAAATGCCAGTTGCATCTGTGTGTAACCACAGACTGTCCAGGGAGAAACTCTGGGAGCAAGAAGTTTTAGTTACTAGTAAAAAGGGCAATAACGCAAAAGAACCATTTTGTTTGACTGCAGTATGAAACTGCATGGTCATTTTTTTGTTCATGTTGTCACCAGAAATAATGTTATGTCACTGGTATGCCTGTGTGTTTTTTGGCTCACATCCTGTCCCTGTTTTCTAGGGAGGTTGTGGACACCATGGTGCGGCACTTCAAGATGCAAATCTTTGGAGACCGACAGCCTGGCTACGACGGGAAGAGAAACATGTACACAGCACATCCACTGCCGATTGGGAGAGACAGGGTCGGTATCTCAAACACTTGAACCTTTGGTTTCATCAGCATGTACCACAGAATAAATGTGTCTTTAAAAACAGTGTGTAAATGTGTCTGCCATGTTGAAAAATCTCTCTGCTCTAAATGATTCCTCAATGAGAGAAATGGTTTGCATTTAAGAACTTTTTAAACAAATACTCATATATAACAGTGTCAAGCTGTTTCCTCTAACCTTTTCCTTAGTTTTCCTAGTTTATCAGTTTTAGCTTCTTGTTTACACTCTTTGACACTGGCTGTGCTAATGTAATGTTTTAATGTTTGTTCATCTTTTGTTGTTTCAAAGACAAATCGATTCATCACAGACAGATATTTCTGTGTTGCTCTTTATTCAGTCTACTTGCTTGCTCTGTGGTATTTATTACCTGTCTCTCCCTGTCACTTGTTCTTTTTTGTTTCCATCTCTCCCCTTTGTCCTTTTCGTCTTCCTCTCTTTTCAATCTGAAGGTGGATCTGGAGGTGACTCTGCCTGGCGAGGGGAAAGATCAGACGTTTAAGGTGTCTTTGCAGTGGGTGTCTGTGGTCAGTCTTCAGATGCTGCTGGAAGCCCTGTCGGGTCACCTTAACGAGGTCCCTGAAGACTCCGTTCAGGCTCTGGATGTCATCACGCGGCACCTGCCTTCCATGAGGTACCGTCACTCACCACCTCTGCCTTTTTACAAACACACTGCCCCCATCTTTTTCGCATCTGTTGACAGAGTTATTGCTTTTCATCTTTTGTCTGTATTACTTAATTTCCTGCTGTCTTGTGTCTTCCTGATTAAATCATATTACACAATTTAATTGTTGTGTTTACTGCAGCAGCTTTTGTAGCACTGCAACCACTGAACCACAGGGCACTGCCTTCCTGATATGTTTGTGTCCATCTATAAATGGATTTTCGAGTCTGTTGCCGTTGATTTTGGTATCATATCACATCACACTAAAATTGTGACGCATTGCATTCGGACGATAAACCAATTCACTGCACTCTTATACTCAAACCTTTTTTTTGTTGGTACTGATACGTTTGTGTGTGTTTAGACTTTTTACTACATTGTTTCTTAACACAGATTATTAAGTGCACATTTTCAGACTCACCGTTTAATTTAATACCCCTTTTATGTAAATTTGCAAACAAACATATCTTTTTAAGTGGTCCTCCTGTGCTTTTACTGTCTGATACAAGTTGAAATAATAATCCAACTCATTTGAATCTTAATCTGGTTGATAATTATAAAAAGACTTCTGGACGGTTAATTAATTGTGCTTTGTGTTGATTGATTTGATCGTTTATGTGTCTTCTGTGTTTTTCTTTGTACACAGGTATACTCCTGTGGGGAGGTCGTTTTTCTCCCCTCCGGAGGGCTATTACCATCCTCTGGGCGGAGGCAGGGAGGTGTGGTTTGGTTTCCATCAATCTGTCCGTCCTGCCATGTGGAACATGATGCTCAACATCGATGGTAAGACCTGATTGATTTAAGTTGTAACTCTCACTACATTACTTTAAAAACCTCAGTACACTTATTTGCTATAATCGATATGACTATACCTGTTGTACAGTATTCTGTGTCAGGCCGATATTTGATGTGGGTGATAAGTGATGGATATAAGATTTCTGTGACACAGCAAACTGTCTTGTGTTTGACATTTGCCCGTGGTTTTAGTTTAAACCCACGAGTTGTGGCCTGATTTTTATTTTTATTTTTATTTTTTCTGCTCACTTTGCTTCCTACACAGACTTATTGCATTATCGGGCAACATTTAAATAAATACGATTAGTTGAGTGACATTTTAGTTGTGGCATGTGACCACTATCTGCTAATGTGAGATGAATTGGCTTGCAAAAAAATAACCTGTGCAGCATTGAAATGTTGATTTTAGAAATCCAATGTCAACGTTATGAATGAAGCCTCCAACTATTTATTACAGCCCTAGTTAAGTCCCACCCTTGTGCTATAACATTATAAACCAAACAGTGTTATGGCTGCCTTTAAACTCATATCTATTACTCAAATCGAACCTCTGGGATGGTGTTCAATCATCACTCCTATATCTCAAACATGGCCCCCAATGATTCATCCACTTGCATTTAAAAAAAAAAAAAACTAAAAACATGTCTGTTTTCAGTTTCAACACCAGTTAAATCAGTTGAAATTGTAAAAGTCAGTCTTTCACAAGGCATTTTGGCACCAGAGCAAGTTCCTGAATCTATTAAGAGTCAAGCTGTAGTTGAGCTGTCTATTTCACACCAAGACTAAGAACACTTCTTATTCTATGACACTAAGACGGAGATCATCATGTGATTAGAAACACAGGTCCTGGGGTGAAATGGTTTGCATAGTATGTTTCTTTGCATTCACTCAGTTATATTGAGGAGATTAAGTCATGTTGTAGAAAGATGTTTAGCAGTCTGTAGCTGTTGCTGATGAGGTCAGGATTCAGTATAGCTGCAAGAAGGTGCTTTAAAACAGTCACTGCTGCATCCCCACTCCTCAATTCTACAGTTTGACCACACTCTACCTGTGATATACACTGTCATATACTCATTTTCCTTGCAGCTTTTATTGTTTTATGGGACTGATTGTTCTGAATAATATCTTATCTGTTCTACCCCCCAGTGTCAGCAACGGCTTTCTACCGCGCTCAGCCTGTGATAGAGTTCATGTGCGAGGTGCTAGATATACAGAACATCAACGAACAGACCAAACCACTGACTGACTCGCAGCGCGTCAAATTCACCAAGGAAATAAGAGGTGAGCACTCAATATCAGCGCACACGCACATTTACCAACAAGTAATGGAAGGCCAACATTAATAGGCATGCACACATTATATGCACAGCTTCTGTGACTCACTGTGTATCAGATTCACCACAGAGATTGCAGAAAGACACATGCATGTTTGTTTTTATGCAGTGTGTAATAGCTAAAGAATCTATACCCACACCTGACACATAATCATGCTGTATACCCATTACACACATACACTGCTTAACACACACTAATACTGAAGCTCAGGTAACAAAGGATTGTGTTTCTGCCTTTTGAACAGAAACTGTCTCAAATCAGAAATTTTGCCCATGAGATTGTGTTCATAGCGGATCTCTTGAATAAAGCTGTGCTTTTATTCATAACTCTAAGAATGTTTGAAATGCAAGAAAAAAACTGAACTATTCCAAGCAGCTCCAGTCTCTGTTTGTCTTTTTTTAATTATGTAATTGTAAATGCACAAAGAACCACTCAATAACCTTGCAGGAGTGAATGGCATTTTACAGATTTGATATTTTGACCCAAACAGTGTGGAATTTCAACCGCACATTTTCTTCGGCAGACACATGTAAGCTCTCTCAATTCTCCTTTTGGTTTGTGTTTTGAGCAGAGTTGTGACAAATGTGTAAAAGGAAACTGCAGAGAGCTGAAACACCCTGTATGCTATTGACTGCCTTGTCAGCATTTATCTTTATCATGGCATGAAAAATAACAGTAGTGAAACAGAAGAGTACAGTTCCAACCTGCTAAATGTAAAGCTAATATTTCAAAATATTTTAAATTACAGTTGGACCGAAGATGTTACTGCTTCTTCACATGATTCCGTATCCATTCTGTCTTGAATGTTTTTAAACAGGCTTAAAAGTTGAGGTCACACACTGTGGTCAAATGAAGAGGAAGTACCGTGTGTGCAATGTAACGCGCCGGCCTGCAAGCCACCAAACGTAAGTGCTGTTCCTACACTTATCAGTTTGTTCACCCTCATATGTCAGCACAGGCAATGTTGTGTGTATGTGTGTGGTGTAATGGACCAAAGCACCACAACAATGTAAGACCTGTTAGATATACAATTACTGCAACTTTGGTCATATTTTCCTTTTTTTGTGTTTTTTGTTTTACATACTTGTGTACTTATTTGTGCTTTGCCCACATTTTCCATTTATTCACAGGTTCCCCTTACAGCTTGAGAACGGCCAAGCCATGGAGTGCACAGTAGCTCAGTATTTCAAGCAGAAGTACAATCTGCAGCTCAAGTATCCACATTTACCCTGCCTGCAAGTAGGGCAAGAACAGAAGCACACCTACCTTCCCCTGGAGGTGAGAAAGTGGCTGTTTTTTGAAGCATAAAAATCCTTATTTTAATTAAGATACCTAATTTAAATGTCCCACTGTCCATTCCCCTTATCATATTTAATTTTGTTTTAATTAATGAAATGTTTCTTCCTGCTCTATAGGTGTGTAATATAGTAGCAGGCCAGCGCTGTATCAAGAAACTGACAGACAACCAGACATCCACCATGATCAAAGCTACAGCGCGCTCAGCCCCCGACAGACAGGAGGAGATCAGTAGACTGGTGAGTGCTGTTTCCCTCTTGGGGTGGGAGTAAGAAAGGCTGCTGGCATTTGATTTTTCTTTAAGGACTTCTAATTTTCAGTTGCAGCCGCTTCTATGAACTCAGCCTTGCCTAAAGAGAGAAATTGAAGTTTTTATATAGTTGTTCTTTCTTATTCTTAATCTCTAATTCCCCTTTTATTTTCTCTTCATTTCCTAGGTCAAAAGTAACAGCATGGTCGGGGGCCCGGACCCTTACCTGAAGGAATTTGGCATTGTTGTGCACAATGACATGACAGAGGTGACAGGGCGTGTTCTCCCAGCGCCCATGCTACAGTATGGGGGCCGGGTGAGTACAGACACAGGGAGGGACTGTGGCAGGGTGAGTACTGGGCAGGGGCTGCACTCTGGGGGCGCAAACCTGACTGGGACCGCACAGGGTGGGGGGCATCATAGAGTGAATGATGGGACATGGGGGGAAGATCCAGGGTGAACAGTATATTTCTGAGATTAATGAATATTAATACCTATATCTGAGCTACTGCTTTTTTACTAAATGGTATATAGAGTTGTCTCAGAGTGTGAGATAGTCTTTCAAGTGCCTTTGGTTGTGCAAGAATATTTCCCATTCCTTTTCACCAAAGAAAATATGAGGTGACTCACAGTTGGAGTACTTCTATGACTCAAATGGACATCACATTCCTGCCGTTGAGTCATCAGTACAAAAGATGAACAACTGTGTTAGAAAATATCTGGTTGCTTTAAAAAAGTGGCAGCTACAATTCTGTGCACATAAAAACGTAAGGTGAGAAGTTAATTAAGATTCCCACGCTGCATTTCTGTAGGAAACATACAGAGACCTTTTTAAAATTCTGGTATTTACGCTAATGGCAAGTAAAAGTTGTCGTTTACGGTGCTGTACTGATAATACGATCTACAGCGTAAATGAACTCACTGTTTAATTTTGGGTCAATTTTAGATGCATTTAGCAACTATGGCGCAGTGTTTTGTCTTAATTGCACCTTTTAGAAGCATTTTAATTTTGCTACATCTTTGATTTGTGCTCTGACTGGCTACTTCAGTATAGCAACAGCAGCCAAGGCTCATGGGTATCGCAGTATTTAAAGCCGTCTGCCATGCCATACTGATGGACAAAACATGATTTCTTAGATCAGAACAACTGAAACTGGTGGCTAAAACAGAAAACCTATAGGATTGTTACATTGTCTAAGAATGTGTTTCTATGTTGAGTAAAATTGAGGACATCTTAAAAGGAAATACAGAATAGAGAAGAAAAAAAAACACTTGCAGAACCAGAGGCTCTTCAGATTTTGCAACTCTTATATACTGTAGATGAATGTCAGTTACTTCATGAGCTGACTAGATACATAAATATATGCAGACCTATAAGACCTGGAACTTGCCCCGTGTTATAATCCTGTGGCGCATCTCTGCAGTCTATGAAGTGCATCTATTGTATTCTCTTTCCTTTCACTGACGCAGCTTTTAAAGTATGTAAATATTGCGGTGCATGTAAATGAAGGCTTCAGTTTTCACCTGTTGCATTTAGTAGTGTCAGTGGAGGAATGGAGATGAGGATTAAGTCATTGCAGACTGCTGAGATTCAGCCACTGAATCCCAAATCAGCCTTTTGGAGAGAAATGTTTTTTTGAGCAGGCCTGTATGGATCTGAAATGCTATCATTTGCATCCGGCTTGTCAACAGACGACGTAACCTGGAGCCTTTTCTCTGGACAAGAATTACCAATTTCTTTATTTTTTTTTTTTTTACATAAATTCAGACTTTATACTCCTACATTGCTGCCTGGCTGTCAGGCATGAAGAGGCTGAATTGAGATTCAAGGATTGTGTGTAAGGGGGAGGAATGGATGTGCTGTCAACAGGAGTACGATAAGACTCGTAGCCACCCAGCATTAATGTAAAACCTGTGGAGGGAATGTGTCTTTATCTCCCATCTGAAAATGAAAAGGTTAATAAAAATACTACATGTGCTGGAATATAACTCCACATTCAGAGGCAGCGTTCAATGGTTCTGCTAAGATAAGATGAAACTTTAATGATCCCTGTGGGGAAATTGGTTCAGTGTATGGGCCAGCTTTCCCTCCTTTTTTTTTTTTTCTCTACTTCATTTGTAATTGTTCTTCAGAGAATTACAGCAGATTGTTGCTTGAAAAAAATATGGCAGTGCCAAGCTTAAATCCCTTTGTTGGCTGCTTGAACTATACGTTGGTTAATTTACCAAAGATCCTATCACCACACTCTCCTTGGCCACTTGCCTGTTGGGATATCGAGTCTAATCGGCTTCCAGTGAAATGCCCTTAAATGTAGACTGAAAGCTTTTCCCATTTGAATGAATGAAACATACACACTGTTTATTTTAAAATGGCATGCTGATGTTGGCGGACATACAGTTGCATCAGTATCAGTATTGAGTATTGACAAAAACAAAAATGAATACTCCCTGAAGTGAGTATGTCCAACATCTGAGATGGGAAAAGCTGCAGTCAATTTCCTGTGTAACATACACTGATGACACTTTTATATTACTGACAACAACCTGTAAATGTTTATCAGATTGTTTCAAATCCTGAAACTTGATCATGTTGAAGATTATTTTGAGACGATCTTGTAATGAGTTGAGAAGCTCTTCACTTTTCTTGGCATACAACTCTCAAGTAGTTCATTGTGATCTCTGGTTTTGGAGAATAAAGGCTCTTAATGGCCTTTGGCAAATCTCGTTAACTTAATTGAAAGCTACTGCCCTTTGAATTTATATTCACAACCACACTCGTAGTGGGGGCACTCACCTAATGATGTGCCTTTGAATAGATACACTACTCTTGTTCACTGTCCATGCCAGGACTCCTGATATGGGAAGCTATAAAACCAGCGTATTTATGTGCCATAAAAGAACAGAGCATTTCTCTTCTTCTAAACGAGTCTCACAATGCCTGCTACAGACTGTGTATGTCTAGTGCCCATTAATACTTCATGCACAGGCACTCAGACATCATTATATACCAAAACTGATATAAATGTATAAAACCAGCTTTGAAGCATTTCAGTGTGCATAGAATAGTTTGTACGGTGTCTGTAGGCCAGCTGGCTGGGCGTTTTAATGCATTCTGTTTATCTGTATAAGATAGAAAAATCAAAGTGTGGGTTAGGATGTAGTACCTTTTGTATTGGCTCATCCAATCAGTGGGTTGACTAAGAGAGTAGGGACTCTCTCCGCAGAATAAGACAGTGGCCACGCCCAACCAGGGCGTGTGGGACATGAGAGGGAAGCAGTTCTATGCTGGAATCGAGATCAAGGTCTGGGCTGTGGCCTGCTTCGCTCCACAGAAACAGTGTCGAGAGGACCTGCTGAAGTGAGTCATGTCATCAACTGTTGTGTATAGCTTTATGAGGAGGTGTGTCCAGATTAAAATAGTAATGGATTATGCTTTTCAATAGGAGTTTCACCGACCAGCTTCGAAAGATCTCCAAGGACGCTGGGATGCCCATTCAAGGCCAGCCTTGTTTCTGTAAATACGCCCAAGGAGCTGACAGTGTGGAGCCCATGTTCAAACACCTCAAGATGTCTTATGTAGGCCTGCAGCTGATTGTGGTCATCCTGCCTGGCAAAACACCAGTCTATGGTAAGAGATTAATAATTCGTGCATTTTAGTGAATAAGGAAGAAGATGTGAGAATAGGAATGAAATTGTTTTGTTTTTTTATTCTACAGTAATTTTGTTTTTTTATTAAAATATTGTGATATTTATCTTTGTTATCTCTGTTTTCGTCTGCAGCTGAGGTAAAGCGGGTGGGGGACACACTCCTTGGCATGGCAACCCAGTGCGTGCAGGTGAAGAACGTAGTGAAGACGTCCCCTCAGACCCTCTCCAACCTGTGCCTCAAGATCAATGCCAAGCTGGGAGGCATCAACAACGTCCTCGTACCTCATCAGAGGTCAGCACGGATTTTTGTTTTCTTCTTCGTTGCAGTCCAGATGAGAGTCTGGAATGCTTCTTGGCTTTGAATGTTGTAGATTGGTCAGATGCTTTCTGAACACAAATAGTCCCCTGGTAATCATGTGGTAAAGAGCAATCCAAGTTGTCGTAATAATCTAATCATTTTAATTTAAAATTAAGCTGTTCTTGGTATTTTATCTGGTGCCTAAATTCAGAGAATCTTTTTAATTTTGTATAATGATACTTGGACATTTTATCGCGCATAATTTCCTTCATGGTCGTGCTGTTTTCTGTTTTATAAATTGAAAAATAAATGTGATGTACTGGCTTATGAACATCTTCTTTTCTTTCTTTTGCTTATCCTGTACTTGGTTCAGGCCCTCTGTGTTCCAGCAGCCCGTCATCTTCCTGGGTGCAGATGTCACACATCCTCCAGCAGGTGATGGGAAGAAGCCGTCCATCGCGGCCGTGGTGGGCAGCATGGATGGCCACCCCAGCCGTTACTGCGCCACGGTGCGAGTGCAGACGTCTAGACAAGACATGTCCCAGGTAACTGCATTGTGTGTGTACGTTTGGATTTTTGTACTATCAATGAACAGTTAATTTTTACTCTTATTAAATGAGTAATTCCTTTTTTTAAAATCAGGTTTTAATGCATCACTCTCTGCAACATTTAGGCTATTTGTTAGTAATTTATAATGTTACAAGATGTCAGTTTAAGACTTTTTTCCCATCAAAGCCTGATGTTTTTGTTCACAGTTCAGAGTCAAAATGAGTTGTTGTTTTTTCTTTTTAGGAGCAGCTCTTTAGTCAGGAGGTAATCCAAGACCTGACCAACATGGTGCGGGAGCTGCTCATCCAGTTCTACAAGTCCACGCGCTTCAAGCCCACACGAATCATCTATTATCGTGGCGGTGTGTCAGAAGGACAAATGAAACAGGTGAGAGATTGGCACGTGGCCGCCTACCCTTGGCAGAGTTTTACCAGTTATTTTCATGCTCATCTCGAGCTTATTTCTGCCATATTTTTGCCATTTTGGCGTGCAAGTCCCACATGAAATCTTTTTAGGCAGGAATTGCAGCTGTGATTCATTGTGAGAGGAGGCTGAAAAAACTTTGAAGATGAAGCCACAAAGAATATGCCATCCAAATAAATTAAAATGTGAAATAAACATAGAAACATTGTATGCAGTAGCAGTGTATCATGTATGTGTGTGTCTGTTTTTGTATTTTTAGGTAGCGTGGCCGGAGCTGATAGCCATCAGGAAGGCCTGTATCAGTCTGGAGGAGGATTACAGGCCGGGCATTACCTACATCGTGGTTCAGAAACGTCACCACACTCGTCTCTTCTGCTCCGACAAAGCTGAGAGGGTCAGTAGTCACTCCACTGCGATGTGTGGTATTTTAATCACTTTCTATTGTACAACACTGTGTCATGTGTCTCTTAACTGTAATGTAATTGATCGCCCCCTGCAGGTTGGGAAGAGCGGTAACGTCCCAGCAGGAACCACAGTGGACAGCACCATCACACACCCGTCCGAGTTCGACTTCTACCTGTGCAGCCATGCTGGGATTCAGGTAGGGCTGCAAAGTTTACCAAAATATTATAAAAAACGCAATATGGCCAAGTGCAATATTAAAAAAATAATTGTTTTTGTTCAAATTGTGATATAAAAATTTATAATTGTATATAATTCCCTAAATGGGAATTATATCACAATTGCAATATCTGTTAGTCATGCAGCCCTAAATTCAGGTGAGGGATACTCACTCACACACTGAGGTTTTTTTGGTCAATTAAATGTTGTCAGTTTTATAAGAAATCTCATGCAACTTTGCATTGCTCCCTCCAGGTCTCTAAGTCTCTTTTGCAGTTTTGAAATGGTGATGATTTGGCACATTTAGACAAATTAGTTCAGTGGAAATTGTCCTCAGGGGTACGGCAATTTTGCTATGTGGTTACCGCGATAATGATGCTTAATGATGCTTAATGACAATAAACGGCATGATTTGGATGCTTTTTTTGACCCATCAGATGGTTTGGCTGTTATTTAAAGTGTAACACTAACCACAAACTATCTTTTCAATATGAAACACTTGCCCACTGTAAATTTAAAAGATGGCTGTAAAAAGTGGAACCAGACACTTGCAGTGGCTCGTACATACGTACATTACAGCATTTACTTCTTGCTCTTCAGTTTGGTCAGGAGAACTACTCCGTCCTATCTCACTTACCTTTTGAGTTCAATGCTGCACTTCTGTAAACATATGGGAATTCCTGTATACAAAGAACCACAGTGGGGTTCTTATGCTGAAAATGAAAAGATGGTTTTCGAGTGACTAAGTAAATGTTGCACTTTATTACACCATTACATGAAATTATCAGTACAGTATGACCTCTAACATGTTGTGTTCCATCTCTCCTCAGGGAACCAGTCGTCCCTCCCACTACCACGTCCTGTGGGATGACAACTGTTTCACCGCCGATGAACTGCAGCTCCTCACCTACCAGCTGTGCCACACCTATGTCCGCTGCACGCGCTCCGTCTCCATCCCAGCACCGGCCTACTACGCCAGACTAGTGGCTTTCCGAGCTCGCTACCACCTGGTGGACAAAGATCATGACAGGTGAGGCTGCCCTGGATATCTGTGGTCCCAGTTCAAGAAAGATTATTAGCTGGAGACTTGGACCAAACCCAGAGGGACAAGTACTGTGTGATAGCATTTACACCCCTTTGTAAAAGCATCCTAAAGCACCCTTGTTTTCCTGCCAAATATGTTTTCTGGTTTGGATGTGTATGTTGTACAGAGCTAGGGTCTAGTCTGTTCTTTTTGTCTCTGCAAAGCATGTTATAAAATTTGTTTTTTAAAAAGTGATTTAAAAAAGATATTTTCAAATTTAGTGTAGAGGAGGGGCGGGAGAGAAAGCTCTCCGGACTGACCCTAGACCAGTAGACGCACATGTGTTTCCAGAGGCAACAACAAGGCTTTCGATTCCTGTTTTCATCCCTGCAGCCTCCATTTCCTGCATTTTTATGATGTGATATCATTCCTGACAGTCAACGTAAACCCTGCCTTTGTCTGTCTTGCAGTGCTGAAGGCAGCCACGTGTCGGGTCAAAGTAATGGCCGGGACCCCCAGGCATTGGCCAAGGCAGTTCAGATCCACTATGATACCCAGCACACCATGTACTTCGCCTGAGCTAGCGAGCACGTCAGCCAGCCCACCCGCGGATTCCCTTCCTTTCTGTCTTTTTCATCTCTTTTTTTTTTTTTTGCCAGTCTCTCCCTCTTTCTCTCTCTTTTTCTTCTCCCACATCTTTTTCTCTCTCCTTGTAGTCTGTCTCTTTCTCTTCACACTCACTCTAATTTTCTGAATCTGCACCAAAGCGGCTCTTGGACGAGGGAGACCTGCTGTGTCCCTATGTCCAGCAGGTTTTTGTTTCAAGGAACAATCAGCCAACCAGCGTTCCCAATCGAGCCGCCTTTCAAACCAGCAATCCAGCACTGCGATCCCTGAGGGTTTCCAGTGCACAAAAGAAAAGAAAAAACGACAAAAAAAACAAACAAACCATACACACATACTACAAGTTGAGCCATTATTTTGAGTTTGTTTTTTCTATTTGAATGTCTGCACTCTTGTGTTTGTAAGATACACTGAGCAAGGGAGTGGATTGGCACAATCTGTGTCAGCGCAGCTCTTTAGCTCTCCCAGCTAAGCAGGACTCTTATCTACTTTTACCTCAAAGCCCCTTTGGGCAAAATCTGTCACAAGGTCTTGGGTTTATTGGGTGGTGGGGAGGGAACTCTACAGGAAAAGAGATGGAGGGGAGTCGACCTTTTGAGAATGAAAAATATATATATAGATATATATATATATATATATTTTTTTTTTTTTCCTTTTTATGAGCGTGTGTTTTAACTTTTTCTCCTTTACGGTCTTTTACAAGCGAGGTGACCTGGGTGTCATGCCCATTACTACTTTCCTCTCATCTAAGCGAAGAATACGCAAGTCTGTGTGCGTGTGTTTGTGTGCGTGCGTGCGTGTGTGTGTGTGCGTGCATGCATCTCTGTATATACATGTACTGCTGTATGAGAGTTTGTGTATGCATGTGTGTTTCATGGCAGGCCACTGAATTGTAAAGGGAAATCAAGGAGATAACTGCTGTAAATGCCTCAGATTTGTTGTTTTTATATTCACACATACAGTACATATAAGCATATATTTACATCTATAGAGCAACTTTGAGACATATGACTTAAAAACAGGCCTCCATAGAGGCTGGTGTGGGTATTTGTAGTAGTCCTGGGTCACTTATTAATTGAAATGCTTTGAATTACATTTTGAACGCGTATGTTTGACGTGCTGCCAGTGCAGTATGGGTGGGATTTGCACCTTTGGGAGCCAGCTACTCCTTTTTGTGCCTCAAAACATCACTGAATTCCAGAAAAAAAAGTAACTCAATCCATTTTGAGTAGTAAGTGAAGTCAGGTCCGACGTGTAGCAGTAGTAACCGTGGTCTGGCCTGTGACTGGCTCAGCATTGGGACCTGTTGAATGGCTGAAGGCATTAAACACAGAGTATGGTCTTATCAGCCTTGCTTTCTGTGTGAAAAGCAGGATCTTATTTTTCTTTGGACCTGATTATCTGAAAGATTATATGATGACACGGCTGGACGTTGCTTTTCTTCATTTTTTTTTTTTTTTTTTTTTTGTAGTAGTTTCAAGGGCCGGAAACCAACGTAGTTTTTAGAGGTCTCCTTTGCTAATACTGGCCAATTCATTGCACTGACCCGGGACGCTAGGCAAGCAACAGAGGGCACTCTCAATCTCTCGTACCTTTATGCATTTATACATACGAATCAACAAAGCAGATTTGTAAAAGTTTAATATAAGATGTTTTGTGGTTATCTTAAAAAAAAAAAAACTGTTGTTTAGAATTAGTAGTTTACCATTGATGTTGTTGTTGTTATCGTTGTTGTCAATGTTGTTACTATTGTGATGATGAAATTTTACGGTTGGCAGCGAAGCCAGTTATATAGTTACTAGTGCGACTTCAGGAATAGACTTCAGTTGTTGAGCTGCAGGTTAAGGGGTTAGAGCTTTGGGTTGGACATTTTTTTTTGTAGCATTCTGGTTAATGGTAAGAAGAAGTAGGCCCCAGGATGGATGAACTCATGCTTCCTCTGTAGGTTCTGATGCGAGTAAAATTTAGCAGCAGTTTTGAGGTATTGTGTAGCACTCCGACTGGTAGATTGGATCTGCTTGTGTACATCATTCAGCTGGTAACGGTTGGTTTTGATCAGATAGATGGAGACAATCAGGGATTGTAATCAGAATGAACCTAGATTAAGGGATTTGTTAAAAAGCGGTTTGCGATAGGCAATGAGTTGAATTTTTAGACTTTTTAAAAAATTGTTTCTATTACTCTGTGTGTATTTGAAGTATACCCATCTTAAAGTCTCAGCTATTTGACGGTGTTTGTTTCATATTTTTATGCATTTTTAACACTGGATTAAATGAATTGACAATAAGCATAAGCACTGCCCTTGGACCCCCTGTACAAACACTCGGCATACTGTAGAAAACGCGGTGACATCGGCTGCGCTGTGGTGACGGTTGCACAAAGTGGTGCCCCCTGGTGTTGCGATCGGATTAAGATGTAGGACAGGAAGAGTTTGGAGAAACAGTCGACGTGCACGCCTCATCAGGGGGGGACAGCTCAGTGGAAGCCCTTTTGTAATAAACCACCCGTAAAGCAGCAGGTTTACTATGAATGAGTTTGAGCACCTGCCTGTTGAAGGCGTGGGCGTTGGCATCGGCTAGGAGCAGAGAAGCAGGAAACAAGGAGGGCTGGAAGGGGGGGGGGGGGATTGGGAGGATGTTGTCCAGGCATTGCATGCAATAAGTTTTACTCTTTGTTTAAAGGGGGCAGATCAATTTTTAAAATGTGCACTAGTTTTACCAAGCCAATTGGGCTGTGATTGAGTATTCATCTGGCATCTCTAATGGGCAGTGATTTGATGTTTTATATCCTTCACAATATTTGATCATTAAACTCCAGTCGAAATAAATGATCACTCTGTTTGTAACATGACATTGCAAAGCAATATTAACCCAGTTCTAGTTTTCAAATGTGGAAAAACAAAGCTATAATTCTACTCATTGTGGTTGTTGGTCTACTCTCGCAATTGTGTCTCTGTACTTTTTTTTTATTTTTATTTTTAAGATTATTTTTATTTGCTTGTATCAATCAGTGGGAATGTGCATTTGGTGGAATAGTTATGTAGGCTTTAGACAATTTCCTTTTTAAAGTAACAAAATGTAGACTTTGCTCGCCTGCATGCCAGAGTATTGTCCTTTTTAAAAAAGAAAAAAAAGAAAACCCTTTTGGAATCATATTTATTATGAGAGAAAAAAATGTATTGCTTTTTTTTTTTTTTTCTTTTTTTTTTGGGGTAAATGTTTATCAATTTAAGTGGGACTGTTTTAGGCTAGCAATATTTGTCCAGTCTCTCTAAGACGCATTTTAAAGATTCCTACACAAATGTCAGTAATTTTGGGAAGGTACACTTTTTTGAGGCGAGGGGGTCCAGCTCCTTTGCGTTGTGTTCAAATTCAAAACGAGGTACTTTCTTTCAAACGTGACCCGGTTAAAGACCTAACCCCTCTCCTCTTGCCAGGTTGCCTGTAGCGAGCATCCATTTTGTCTCCTTCGTTCCTGGTTTGTACCTGTGGCCACGCCTCTTGGTGGGGGCTCTCCTGTCTCCATGGCAACTCTGCTGACCCCTCACAAATGCACTTCCTCTTTGTGAAGGGGTCCCCATGGCATCAGCGGAGCAGGATTACCTCTTTTTAACCTTTTTAAAAAAAGATCCATAATTCTTTCTGTGCCCCCGATAGAAAGAGAGCATGAATTATTTTTAAATTCCTCTCACTTTGATATATTGTTATATCTTAACGGATTTGTAATTTGACATTGTGTATCGTGTATTTTAATTTTATTTTATTTTCCCTTTTCGGTTCCTTTTTTGGGGGGTTGTTATAGCTCTGCTCTGTTTCTTTTCTTTTTTTTCTGCTAGTGGTCTCTGAAGCTGTGTGTGATTGTTTAATAGCAATAAGAATCATAGAATTGGAACATTCCATTTCAGTGAATGGAACATTCTGATTCTGTGAATGAACGGAGCCCTTTTCTGACCAGTTGTGAGAGGGCGAGGCCTGTTGTAGCCCCGCCCCCAGCACAGGGCCATTCACTTGCTGTTATTGCTATTATGTGATATGTTCAAATACATATTTTTTTTTTTTTTTTTAGCCTGCAGGGAATTCTTGTGTTAATGTGCAAAGTAATAAATTGGTATTTTATGCCTATAACATAGCTGATGTGTTTTCATCATTGATGACAGATGTTTTGTTATTCTATTGAAAAGTACAGCTAGTTGAATTAACAACCGATTAAAACCAAAGCCTCTATGTGCATGTATATGGTCACTAGATGGCATTCTTTACCAAGGTAAATGGGATCACTTGATAACTGAGAAGAGTAAAACATTAATGATCTGTCCAATTCCTCACCTTGATGGTCATTTAAGAACAGCTGAGTGAGGCATGGAGATATTAAAGCACCTCGCTGATGACAAGTTGTTATCTAACCATGTTAACATAAAGTGTAGATGCAGCCATAGTCATACTGAATTTGAGTCCATGTAACAATCTCATATTTCATACATATTGTAACAATCTCATATTTCATACAAAGTTAATGTAATCTTTAATCCCTGAGATTGTATATGAACCTAAGGGTCTATGGGCTTTCATACAAATACACTAAAACACCAAACAGTTTGTCATAATAGCTCAAGGGTTAACCTAGACATCTAAAACACTAAAAAATGAATTACTGCAACTGGTAAACCTGTGTAGCAGCTCTAAATATTGTATATTTGTTTGGCACCATTTAACGTCCTGGCAGGTACACGGGCAAAACAAGAAAGGAAGGTGTTTTTGTCTGTGCCTTTTTTAATGTTAAATGTCTTTAAGGCGTTATCAGTCACATAAGTAGGGCAAGCATTCACAAATGATCCTCTTGCATTTTTCTTTGTGTTAGATTGTTCTTACACACAGGTTTCAGGCTGAAAAATGTAAGATAAAAGTTATTCACACAACATAATGTACTATATATTACTATTTTGACTATAATAGTAAAATACAAGAGCAAACTGCAAAAAATTTGCATTTGCTTGACAGCTCTGTCATGTTTAAACAGTTTTATTAATGATCAGTAGTATATTGATTTCAAAAACTTTTATAGAGGTATTAATTAATTAAATCTCTGATTTGTCCATAAATGTGTTACTAAATGTTTATTATTTGATTTAAATGTAACATTTAAGTCTTGCTGCAGTTATCATTTACAAAAACATTTAAAAAATAATTTCTTTCCAGTAACTTTGGATATACTGCTGCAACTATTGTGTTGGTAGCACCTCCCTCCCCTCTTGGTGCCTCAGGTAAAAGAGGTCATGGAGTCAGCTGGTATGACCTCTTTGGGACAAGGGAATTCAGAGATATCATCATGAAAATATACGTTGTTAAATTAAAACCATATCTCTTTATTACAATGAATATAAGGCTACGTGGCATTAACTGGTGTAACTTCAATACCACGCTGTATTGGACTGCTATAGGAAAATGCCTACAGCTGTGTTTATTCACTCACACTGGACAGCCATCATTGGTATGTGTCACCTTCCTTTGCTTCCCTTTGTGTATCATTCCCTCTCCTCTCCTGTTTCCTGTGTCCTGGCCGGTTGTCATGACCACCGTTACCAAGGAGATCGGAGGCTACAGAAGAAAGGAAACCTGAACCACAGATCTTGATGCCCCGATATTTAATTCATCGGCTCAATGGCACACCAAGGTTCAGTGTAATGCAGATGGAGCGAGAGCAGTCTTGGGTAGAAGGGGCATTTCTGAATATGAAAACAAAGAGGTGCTGTCAGATCCTTCTGTTACATTCAGGTTCTAATTATATATATATATATATATATAGTATTATATATAATTACTCCTCTAGCTGTTTATTTTACAAAATATTGATAATAACCATGATATATAACCTGATTCAGGCCTGCCATTTTCAGCCTGTTAATGTTTAAGCCACAGTTTGTGAAATGTAATTAAAATGACATTGAACAAAAAAATGTAAGAATTCGGGGGTTTGGTAATTTCCTTTGTCTAGATGACAGTGCTTACAATCAATACATGTGACTGTTTTTTTTGACCTGTGTATTTCTCCTGTGGCTTTTCAGCATTTCAACCTCAGTTGTTGTTGGAGAAAACCTTTTGTGAAGCGGTTTCTCCTTTTCATTGCAGACAAAAAGGGCCAGTGAAAGCTCATTTTTGTGAAAGCTCCTTTAAAATACATGCCAGTTTGTGTGGTATGAAGCAACACAAAGTGTGTAATCCTCATTGTAGAGGCCCCCCTCCCATGTTGTCTTTGTGTTAACTGATCCACCTACAGACAGCTCTCCATCCTCGTCCGTCCCTCCCTCCCTCCTTTTGTTGTCTCATCCTCTTTTGCCCTCTCCCTCCCTTGTGCATCGTTGGGGTTTTTTTTCCTGGGGTTCAGTGTTGCTCTCGCAGGTTTGTCTGTCAACAGCGGTACCGAAGATGGGAGGGAGTGAAATGATGCTGTGTTTACTCAGAAGTCTGACCATGCGGCCCTGATTTGTTATTTATACCCTTGCTGGAACCGAATTGACCCATTTGGGCTGCGTTGCTACAAAAGGAAGCGATTGGGGGTAGGGTGAAGCTGAGCAGCGGCTGAAGTAGCCTCGTCAAGGCTTGGACCTCGCCGCTGTTTATTGTCAACAAGGAGACACTTCAGCTGGCAACAGCAGCAGTGTCTGATGAAGAGTCCTGCTGGCTGTTTTCCTCTGGAAACCTGTGCTTTTTTATGAATTAGAGACTTAAAAGCTTGTCTGGATTCTGGGAAAAAACCTGCTTAAATAACTAACTGGAATAACCTCTTTTTACTGACTCCTAAACTGCTGATTGTTCCTCTCTACAGGATGTTTGTTGTCAACTAATAGGTAAAAAGCTACGACGATTTTTACTCTGTGTAATCAAGCGCCACAATTTCAACCTTGCTGTGACAGGATACACTCATAGAAGCACCCGTGGCCTTGAATCCAAGTATCAGGTTATATCAGTCTGATCCATCTAGGTAATGCTACACCAAAACAGGAGTGTGACACTGAAACACACTGCAGCTCAACAATCGGCCCCCTGGGTTTGAACCAGAGCTGAAGCCAAGGAACCACTTCCACAATATATTTAAAAGGGAAAAAAATCCTGGCTGGGATCCATTTCTTCCACAGGGCCTGGACCGTAAAGCCTTATTGATCCAGCTTCTGCAGGCTGCCACAGGTGGCTGCACAGCTATCGGCTACTCAATAATGCATTGACTCAAACTCAGGAATGAAAAGGAGGAGAAAGTGTGCGAGCCTCTGATCCTTCTGGAAACGTTGATGACTGCTGAGAGAAAGCGAGTGATTACTTGCCCCAGTGACACTGGGGCAAAGACCATAGGAAGCTTGACCAAGTCGGACAGGAAGTGGGCAAGAAAAGGAATAGACTTTAAACGACCATAAAGAAGGACAAAGAGGAAAATAAGATCTCACTAAAGAGGCGACTGTGGTAGACAAAGACGGACCACACAAAGGAGGTCATCATGGTGAACACTGGCATGCAGCTGATCAGCTTCACCTGCGCGGTGACTGGCTGGATCATGGCGATCGCTGTCACGGCCTTGCCTCAGTGGAAGGTCTCGGCCTTCATTGGCAGCAACATTCTGACCTCGGAGATCAAGTGGGAAGGCATCTGGATGAACTGTATCTACCAGACCACTGGTCACATGCAGTGTAAGACGTACGACTCGATGCTGGCCCTGCCTCCAGACATCCAGGCAGCCCGTGCTCTCATGTGTCTGGCCATCTTCATGGGCTGGCTCTCCTGCACCGTGTCCTGCTGCGGCATGAAGTGCACCACCTGCGCCGGTGACGACCGCCGGGCCAAGGCGGGCATTGCCCTCTCAGGTGGGGTTCTGTTCATTCTGACCGGCCTGTGCGTGCTGATTCCAGTTTCCTGGACTGCTAACACAGTCGTCCAGGATTTCTACAACCCCAACGTGCCCTTGATGCACAAAAGAGAGCTGGGTCAGGCTATTTATCTGGGCTGGGCTTCTGCGGTTATTCTTATGATCAGTGGAGCTGTGCTGAGCAGCACCTGCCCCCTCATGGAGAGGGGCGGCAGGTACCGCAGGGGCTACATAGGCAGGAGCTTTGCTAATTCACCTGCTTCAGCACCAGATCCCCCAAAACCTATCACATCTAACAGTGTACCATTAAAGGAGTATGTATAGGAATAAGAAGAAGGAACACCAGCAGGCGGAGAGGGAGGAAGTAAAAGAGTGGATGCTGATACAAACTCTGGTTCTTTCCTAGATTAAACCTGTCTCACGTTTTAAGTCTGTGAATTTTAAGCTATAAATTTAAATCTCTATATTTATTAATATATTACGTATATTTTGCTTATTTTGTATATCTCTTTGTAATGTTAAACTTGTATGCAGTACTGTTTGTTTGAAATTTGACTTTTACTGCACTGTGATTTATAGTAGTGCCTGAAGAAAGCCCATTGCCTATATTGTCAAATCAACAGCATTCACACAAAAGTATGACTGTTATGACGGCTTTAATGATGGCCCGTGTTTATGATTGCAGTGATTTCTGAAACAGTTATTCTCTGACAATGTCATTACTTCGAGTGTGCCTACATCAAAAGGGTGAAATAAAATAAGTTTGAAATAAGTGTGCTTCACAAAGTGTTTTGCAAATGTTCATCCTTGTCTCTGCTGGCGGCTTTTAAAAATACATGTGGTTTGGGCCATTGTGACCATCACAGACAACAATATCAGAGTAATTTCAGGTCCTTTTTTCTCCTGATATAAGTTCCTCTTCATCTTGAATTACCATATAAAGTCTGGTACATACACAGTCTGGCACACACTTCCCATCCAAGAACATGTCTTGGGCATTTATATGACAACCAAATTCCAGTCCTTTGCCAGCATCAGGAATTCATCCATCTGAGGTATACATGTATGTTTGCTCATTATTCCTTCCTCTCTTCTAGCCTCTTCATAGAAATGCAGTCGGATTCACAAGCTGGTCAGACTTCCATTTTTACTCCCTTCATTGCGACTCAATAAAGAAGGACACTTTGCAAAGTGTATCTGAAAGGCAACAGAGAAGTAATTAGTGTCACCTACAAAAACAATATGTCATATGGGTATGTGAAAAGTTTTCCTCTGCTTTTATAAAATAATTTGAATACTGGCTCTGGAGCCAGGTGCCTTTACCAGTCATTTTAAGTAATACAAAAAGAATATTGGAAAAGACGATGCGCAGGGACAGGAAAAAGGTCTTGTTTGTTTAAAGTCAGGATATAATATTTCAAACATCAAAAATAGATATTTGTGTTTTTTAGAATTTGGACAACAAAACAGATATGTGACTGAGTTTGGCCTATTATCTATAGTATGTGTCAAAACTTTCAGTGTTTGTGAAAGTATGATACTGTTTCAAACTCTTTATATCTCACAAGAATTAACCTGTCATGTATGATTAATTACTATTTATTTGAACAAAGCAACATTACATATAGTTATCAGCATCAATAGACATTTTACCTGTGATGCGGTCTTCTGCACTGGGAGACTCCAAGGATTTCCATCTTTTGGGAGCAGACTCTAAAAGGGAGAGATCATCTGCTCTCAGTGTTTGCAGCAGAGTCTTCCTCCTCAGAAATCTGAACACATGAGTTGAGGGAAAAAAAAAAAACCTGAACAGAATGCAAACCCAACCCAATGCAACCACGAACAGGAAGGATACTGTTGTCGATAGTGACGCTCAGCATCCTGCAGCCACTCCAGCATGTCAGAGAGAGACGGGGCGGTGGCCGAGCGCTCTGTCACAGTGAGCAGGTCCAGACTGTCTGTGTTCTGCTCGTAGAGCTGGAGGACTGCAGAGACCTGGTTACTGATGGAATCTCTGACAGACTGTAGAGAAGACCTGAGGGACAGAGGGATGGATGGATGAACAGATAGCACAGCTGCCCTGTGTCAAACTCTAGTTATAAACCCTTTATTATTTTAGCTGATATTGAGCATATTCCTAAATAAATGTCTAATCAAATTATCACACAAAACACATAGGAGTAAGGTTTTCTGGAGCTCTGGGTCCTGCATGGCTGCTGTTATAATTCTAATTATAATAATAATAATAGAAGTCACGTTGTGTCTGTGATATTGTACATCTCATGCAAAGACTGTGAACACTCAGACAGTCTCATTTGTGACTGTCACTTACATCTTCTCGTTGAGTTTTACCAGTACTGTATCCGTGGCTTGTAAGAGCTTGAAACGCAGCCGTTCCTCCAGGTCAGGGAAGTCTCTGAGGGGTGTGTTGGAGATTTGGACGTTGGAAAGGGCTCTCGACTGCTCGGCCAAATTCCCGAGAGACACCATCAGAGGGCTGCAGTCTGCCAACACACTACTCCATACTTTCTGATTATTTTCAAGACTCTGGAAGCTTTTCCTCAGTGCTTGATGAAGTGAAAGTAGTGCAGGTTTGGACATGTCAGCAGCTGATTTCAGACATCAGTTTGCCACAAAATCAAATCCGTGTGTGAGCAATAAATCGATCCTTGTTTTTAAAACTGTTGAGTCCGTTTTGGAGCAACAGGCTGCTTTAAAACGCGCCCTGTAGCCCCTCAACCTGTGGCAACATCAGCCGCTGTTTAACACCACATTTCCACCATGTTGCCTGAAACCCACTTCCGTTCTCCTGATGTAAACACTGACGTTTGGTGCTATGATTGGCCGAGCGCCATTCGGTCGTGACGCGGGGCAAACACGCGTTCTCATTGGCTGACTGCGCGTCTGGCCCCTCCCCGCGGGCAGATTTGAAAACGGCTTTGTGAAGAAAAAGGAGAGTCGAGTGTCCGAGGAAGGAAACAATACCAGGTAATTTAATGTTTATAAAAATACGCATCACCACGGTAGACACGTATTGTTTTCTAGCGTTTTATTAAATGTGTGTGCGTGTGAACAGAACTGACAATGATTTGTCGATGCCTAATTGCGGGGCGAGCTAATATTGGTAGCTAACTAACTTAGCACAACCTGTGACGTTAACTGTTAGCTCCATTATCAGCCAACCACATGTCGAAGGTTTCTTTTTAAAACGCTAAATGTATTCACGTCCCAAAGTTACACGATTTACTTATTGTGATTGTAAAGTGACTTATTTTCCGTGCAGACATGGCTCCCAGGAAAAGGACCACCAAACAGCGGAAAAACAACCCAAAGACGGCCAAGCTCGAAGCTTTCCTGGAGGATTTCGACAGCGAGGGTGAATATATATATTCCGCTTTTTGTAAAGCAGTGCTCTGTGGAATTTGCTAGCATTATATACATGGTTTGTTTCAATTAGCCTTGCTTGGAAATGTGCATTGATCGCCAGCGCCCTTGCAGGCTTGCTGTATGTTGCTGGGTGTACTATTTTTAGGGCCCTCCATTATGTATAGCCCCTTTCATGGCGCTGCAGAGGGTGGTGACATTTGAGAGGTTATTAAAGCACTGTGAGCGAGATATAAACTTGTACAGTTGAAAAATAAACACAACAGTGCTCTATGGCTGACAAACTGTAGTGGTTATACTCTCTCTATTACATATGTTTGACCTTTCTAGGCAGCAATCTCTTGTAACCTATTTGTCAACATATATGCTCATACTAATATATCTGTAACAGGTCGGAATTGGCTGATAGTGTTGACTTATTCAATATATATCAATCAATATTTATATCAATCCAATATATTTTATCTAAGGAGCAGGAATGTAATGTAAAGATGTATCGTGAGACACTTTAATCACAATACAAATCTGCGAGATGAAAAATGAATCGTGGAGTCAATTTGAACTACTTGATGAACTGCCGGTTAGTGTTATCTAAAACACAACACCTACAACACTTGTGTTTTCACAGTGAAGACCAGAGTTGGACAACTGAAAGAGAAGATCAACCAGCTGCTGAAAGATGTTGACAACAGCTACAACATGGCTCTTATCAAGCTCCCCAAGGCTGTCAGGCAAACGACCTGGTTGGAACATTGCAGTAAGTTAACACAAAGCCTCTCACTTTGTCATGAAACACAAATCCCAATGCCATGAACACGGTTTAAAGAAATATTGCAATTGTGCTACGGAGGCTTCTTCAGCATTCTGTGCTGCTCTCATAAAAACCTAACTGCAGATCTGGATCTTTAATGAGCAGAGCGTTTGTATATTTCTGTTTTGAGCGAGTTTCATGACTCTTGAGATGTTATATGTAGTTGCAAAAAAAATAGGCATACTTGCCACGTTACTTGGTGTTGCGTATAAAGGGAAACGTGACTGCTACGTATATTGTTTTATCCTTTTAATCGTCGTAAAATTAAAAGTATTTACCAATCTCTCTGTAGAGTCTGAGAAACCAAAGTCCCCAGAAGTGGATAATACAAAGGTGAGTTGATTATCTTTCTCTCATATCATGCATCATGATTCAGTGTGTCACAGGTTTCAGGAAGTCTTTGGTTTGTGCAGGCACATCCTGTGCTGTAATAAACATTGATTCATGTTTGTCTGTTTACAGAGAGAAGAGGAAGCTGCTATTGTTGACAGCGTTGTGGCTGAGGACCACGCAGTCCTTCTGAAATCAGTCAAGAAAAGTATGTTAGAACTAGTTTTGTGTTTTTAAGCATTCTTAAACAAAGTCTAATAACATAGAGCACTTTGCATCTTTAAATGGGATGGAACATGTCCAATGTCTTTCAATGAAGTGGCTTTAATCCTGTTTATTCTGTGTCCAACCCACAGCGTCAAAGAAAAAAGGTGGAGCCAAATCCAGTTCAGAGGATGAAAACACCCCGAGCACGACGAGGAAGGTAGTGGCTGATTTTCATTCAAGAATGCACAAGAGGGACAAAACACAGCTGAGTGTTTGAGAGCATCTCATAAATATAAGGAGTGGATGGTTGCTATGGAATGTCATTTATGTGCAGCCACTTTACGCTGTTTAACTACTCGTTCCTAATTCAGGGCAAAGCAACAAGAAAACCTCCGACTACATCAAAAAGGGCAAAGGCGCTGTCAGTCAGCAAGCAGAACACCTCCATCAGACGGTAAGACCTCTTTCTTCTTCCTTCTTCTTCTTTTTGACTCCTTTCTTTCGTTCAGTATCCCAGTTACATCATACCAACATCTCTCTGTCCGGATTCAGATCGACCAGGAAGCCATTGGTCACTCCTGCCAGGAGTATGCTGGATTCTTCTTTGATGATGGGCTCTACCCCCCTTGTCACCCCACGCTTCGACCCAAGGTAAGCCAGCAATATGTATTTTAACTTAGAAACGGGTGTGGGGCGGCTGTAACCAATTACTATTCTCCCTGTGTCTGCAACAAAGGATTTCTCATTCCCTGTAAATTGATGAAGCATTTTTTATTTTGCTATTTGCATCAATGAAATTAGCACAGAAATTCCTGCACAGTACAGCATGGCAAGGTTGTGTAATAAAAGCACAATGGGCAAATAAAAGCCTGAATTATTACAATAAACCTCAGGTTGATCTTCAGAGCACTTTTGCGTTTATAAATCTTCAAGTGAATCTAGTGTCTTTTATCCGAGCGTTGTTCATTATGTGGGCACTGAAGAGTTGTTATCATAGCTGGCTGCTTCATTTAAAATGCCTCTCTAATGGGTCATCTCGAGCAATTTACTCCCTTTGATCTTGTCTTTTCTAAATCGGAGGCATTATCCACAGCGAGGCGTTCACAATACCCACCATACATGCTTTATTTCCTCAGGCTTCCTAAGACCCCCGCTGTGAGAGTTCCCCGCCACAAAGAGAGGGTCTACAGCATTTCAGTCAACGGCTCTCCCATTGCAGCAGGAAATGAGGACATTGTCATCAACGTCCCCATCGGCAACGGAGAGGTGAGTGTGCAGTTAGCTGGACTCGGGTTTCAGGATCCTACAGGACAGATATTAGGAAATTAAGACTTTAAACTTTATCCTCATTACAAAATTTGACAATACTCTACAACATAATAATACTGAGGATCTTTAAATACTTCTCTGTGGCGTCTGTGTGTTAGGCCTGTATTTATTTTACACAATATACAATTTTATTTATTATATTCTAACAAGACTTTGGAGTATGCTAACTGAATTGAATTTACCATCCTAATGTCTTGTAATATGTGTGGATCCAGAGCGTTCAGCTATTGGCCAGTCAGATGGACTCAGTGGATCTGTCACTCCTGGATGAAACTGCTCTGAAGAGCATTCGGCTGCTGAAGGTACAGCAATCACTTCTGTCCAACAACATTTCTGTAATATCACTGGTTTGCTACAAGATTTAGTGTAATGTTTCGAAATATTTGCATATGCTTTTATTCTCATTTTTTGTTTGTTTTTTTCTTCTTCTTCCTGACAGAATCGCCTCACAAACCTGTGTGGGATATCCGAGTGACCTGACCGCCTGCTTTTGACTGCTTTTGTACATTACATTCGAAATTTTATCTTATCTTTTATCCTTGAAATATTCTCTTCCCGTGGCGTGGTATGATGTTTTTTTTGTACTAATAGGTGAGATTTTAAAAGCTTCACAGGTTCTTGAGAAAACCATGTTTTGTCAGTATTTCTGTTATTGGATGTTGTTTTCTTTTGACCTAATTCACTCACTGGAATTCATCCAGTTAATGAAAGCTGTCAAATGTATAAATGTGGGTTAAAATGTGTTATTTTACCACTTCTGTTTTCCTTATATACTTTTGTAAGATAGTCTAGTTTAACTGCCTTACTTAATTCATCTTTCATTTTCGTGTGGGTATTTTCTGCTGCTTTCATAGCATTAGGCTTAATCCCTGGGGGAATTCTGCCTAATGTCTGTCTCATTTTAGTGCTATTCCAGTCTTTTATTCCTGGCCAGACAGACTTGTAGCGTCTGGATTTTAGTTGCCCTATAAATCTTGTAAGGCTTCTAAGATCATTTAAAATGAACAGGTCTGTACTCTGCAAATATGTTTTACTGTTCATTCTTTGTTCTGTAAGTACACTCTAATCCAACATTTTTTTTTGTGTTTCATTTTGTCATTGTTGAATCAGAGTCCCTCCATCTTTGTATAAATCATCTTACAGTTACATTATTAGTGCAAATACAAACGTGTACATAGATCACTCTTTGTCTACAGAACTGATAAAGGGTTTTGACCACAGATCTAAATTTGTGTGATGTGATTTATTTGAGTGTACGGTAAGTGTTTGAGAGTGTGGATGAGTTGCTTGATCATAAAAAAGCATGTTTTAACAATTATTAAAATGCTATGATTATGTATAAGTAGACTTTATGGGACAGGTTTTTTATTGACAAAGCCATCTTCATCAAGCTATACCTTTGCTTCATGACCAGTAGGTGGCAGCATTTCACCACTTAAGTGTCTGGAGTAGTCAGAACCTCCTCTTCAGACTGATCTTTCTTTCTCCAGTTGTAACCTGCCCTCAGCATTAAAGCAGTTTCCAAACAGACCAAAGATTGTAGTAAAACCCATTTGAATACTTGCTTCTGCTGATTATCAAGAACAATAAGGGAGGAAACTTAGTATTCACTCTGAGAACTTAATCATAGTTTTGATATTTAAATACTTTGATGTACTTCAGTGAGTTTCATTACCCTGTGTATCTACAAGAAAAAGCAAAGTCACTGCTTTCTTGTGCTGCTCAACACTAAGCTTTATTTAGTTTATGGTGACAAACTTGAGCAGTCAACTCTTCTGTTTAATTTTCCTCTATAGGTTAACAAACTCTGGCTTTTGCTTACGTAAGAAGTTCCTCTCGTCCTTTCATGACTTTGTTTACACAGAGGGACATTAGTGGGTCACGTGACGTGCTGTTGGCAGGAAGTGGCAGCCTGCTCCGTTGCTGGCACTGAAACTTGCACTCTGACCTTCGGGGACATCATAACGCTGCCAATTAGAAGCTTGTTAAGCTTCGTTAGGCCTGATGAGCTCGTTAGGGTTTCCACCTGGGATGGTGAAATGGGTCAGACCGGGGCCTCACCTTGGGCCCATACAGACATGCATAACTCTTTGCTATTCATATGCTACCAAGCCACAGCATGGGAACTCTGTGCCCCCAGCTCAACCTGGGCCTAGTCCCTTCCATCTGTATCCATCCTAAGCCCTTTATCATCTGCTGTCTCTCGCTGTGCAAACTGTGTTGCAGAGGTAAAAACCAAACTCTGCATCCCTACAAACGACAGATGTTGTGGTCAGCGGTGCGTGCAGTTCAGCTCCCTCGTTAGCGGAGTACTGAGCCCTCGCGCACCTGCTCTACATATCATAGAATTTTCCTAGTTTTGCCTCTGAATGTATTGGATCCTTTTTTTATTCTCTAGGTGGGTGGAAAATTGCCATTTTGCACGGATGGCTTGGTTTTCAGTAAGCACGAAGGCAGTGGCGCAGTGACAGGTGCGGTATGGATGGGGCGGATTTCGAGGTCACAGAGCAACACTGCTACATAAATCATCCGCTGAGATGTTCAGGATGAGGGACTGGAACCTGAGATAGTGGGAGGGAGATGGGCACAGTACAGAAATACTTCAACACTTAGCAAGCAGCTCTGTATTAGTGTCCAATCTGCGCAGATTGTTATTCACCTGCTTTAAAGCAGTCCAAAGAAAATGAGGGAATTAAAGCAGCACATTCTTGCAAAATTACTTTAGCAGGCTTTAAAGCTGCACCAATCAATATTTTTAAATTGACAATGGATCAAATGGCTGCGTGTACTATGTCAGGGGTTGTTCTCAGTATTAAATCCACAGAGCATTATACAGGACTTTGCAGCTTCCCCCAGCTTTACAGAAAGGTTTGGTGTCTTTCAGCTCATGGTTTTGGCTTTACCGCTCACAACAGCTGATAAACCGACAGTATGCTGCATGTCCAGCACCATACAGCAAAGTTGGTGACTAGCAGGTGAACATAGTGTAGCATTTAGCTGCTATATGAGCTGGAAATTTTGAGTTGAGTTGAGGATCAAAGGAGAGCTAAAAGTAGAGTGAACATTGCATTTACATTGATTGGGTGGGCAGAAACCTGAGTTAATGCTCATGCTCCGCTGTCTCGATGTTTGGTGGATGTGACAGTGTTTGCTAATGTTCACATAATAGGTCAAATCGTAACTACAAGCTACTACAGTGAGTCTGTGTGCAAACTATATCATGGCTTTCGGGGGAGCACCCTTTTTTTTGCATGTCATTAGCTGATAGCTGATATAATAATCAGTGACATGACATACACCAATACTAACCTAATTTTATGCACAATCCATGATGATAAAGATACAGAAAAATAGAAATTAATGGCCAAGCTTCCCCTGGCTCCACTTTATTTGCACCCTGACTACAGTTAACATTGGCCTAATTGTAATTCCAATTTGGAGGTATTGGGATATTCTGACAGCTATGATATCTCCCAGCTGGTAAATGAACTGCAGAAGTGTCACTGGCAAAACAGCTGCAAAGCCATCATCAGTGATGGTTACTATTTAAACTTATTTACTTATTTAAATAGAATCTAATAATTCTTATTACAGATAATATTGGTAATATAAAAATGCTACAACTGCCCTCCAAAAAAGTAGCCAATTTAGGTTATTTATATATCTAGCAGTCACAAAAATGATGTGTGAACAGTCCTACCGTAGCTACCTTATCGTTCTATGAACCTTTTCTTAACCTATCCCTTTGTCCCATTGTTCCACAATACCCCCCACCAATTCCATCTCTTAGCCCCTAACCCTTTCACCACCTAATCTCACCCTCCTTCATATTATCTTATTTTGTATTCCCAAAATCTGTTATCATTAACACATGTGTCTGACACATGAATGTGGCGTATTCCTCAACGAAGCTGTTCCCTCCCCAAACTGCTGGAGCCGTTGGTTAATTGAGCCCCCAGACCTGGGGAAACTGCCAAATTTCCTGCCAAGATGAATGAACCTGGCAGAGACGTGTTCTCCTAGAGAAATTAATTCTCTGGTGCGTCGAGGCCTCCTATAAATCCCATCCGTCAAGTGCCCCTCTAATCGATTTATTCACGTGCCCACAGCTCCGTCTGCCACTGTCTCTCATTCAATTCATACTGAGCCAGCCAGGGGTCGAGCCTCATCTTTTGCTAAGTTGGTTTGTCAGCACAAACCAAAAAAAATAAATGTCACCGAATGCTTTGTTCTGTCTGCAACGGTGATGGAGAGTTAGGAAGACACAAGCTGACGGTAAAGTGAAGTGGCAGACGGGAGGAAGAGTTAAATGGGACTGAACGGCCCCCACATGATGCATTCTGGGCATGTGTTCGTCTGGTGGCCAGCAGGGTCCTGATGGCGTTTTGATGGGCGGCCCCTCTGTCGTTCAGGCACCCCTGATGATGGGCGGGGTGGAGAGGAACATCTGCTGCCAAAAAATTCCTGTGGAAATTAGACCCTGAAAATAACGGGCTGCTCTGAGAAGAGGCAGGAGGTTAATGCCATTTGCTGATTGCACAGAGACAAACTTTTGCTCGAAAGGACCCTCGGTGGCTCTGAAATTCAGACATTTATCTGTGAGAGACAATACAGAATTTGTTTGCACTGGGTATCAATATAAGTTAGACATTAAACCTGTTCTGTCAAAGAAAGTACTTACATTTTTGGATCAGGTGTATATCTTGATTTGTGTAACTGTCAGGTTTTGCAGATGGTGTATTCATGGAAAAACCAACCAAAAAGAAAATACTTTTGCTCATGCTGAAAATTATAGATGCAAACTACACTACATTAAACAGGTTAAGTTGAGGTATGTCAACTGTAAAGTGTCAGCCAGTACACTGTATGTAAAAAATGCCAGTTGTAGTGTAAGCACTGAAAATAGTTGAACTGTAAGTTAAAGGGTAACAGAGGGAATCGGCTACTGATGGCAATTATATTTCTGTCTGCTGCTGTTGTTAAGAAGGAGAACTGACCTGTCTGCTGTTGACTGTACAATATTTTTAAGAAATGTATTTATTAGTTTTGAAGCCTTTTCAGTAGTAGTTTTGATGTTCATTTTTGCTGAAATGGTAGATAAAATAAGTGTATATTTTTCATGAATGAGGGTTCTTCTGTTAAAGGATCAAAAGCACTTTGCAGGGTCGACATTTCAAGGTTGACACTTTTACACACAACTCAAATCAGTTTAACAGCTATTCTTACTTATTGATTTGAAGTTAATTTCACATTCAATTCAATTTTTTATTGACATTGAGGCTGGTATTTTATAATCTGGCCCGAGCAACAACATGCAGTGTTTCTTATTATGTAAATAAATATAACTTCCTTTGTAGGCCATTTTCCGGCGATGAACAGTGAGAGAGTCAAGGGCACAAACTTACACTTTTCTTTGGCTTTGCAAGCATAGGCTTTTCATGTGGAAAGCACTAATAGTAGAGGCACTCGTTTGAGCTTTGCGCTGCCATTCATTCCTATGCTGGACCCGGCCTGGGCAGGTTGAAAACAAGCTTTTCTTATTTGGTTAGACGAATATGAGATGCAAATATCAGGAAGGGCGACAGAACAGAGATAAAATAAAGTGAATTCTCACCCCATTCATTACCTCCTTCAAAGAAAGAAAAGGAAAGTGACCATAAAATGAGCGGTGGAGCAATGGCCAGAATTGCCTTTGAGAAATAATTAAAGCCTCTTTGCAATGTTCCCCAGCCTCTGGGAAAAATCCCCATCTTCTGTATGGTCTACAATTGATGTTTGGTTTACCATCCCCTCTGTATAAAGCAGACCTTCAATAAACTATATCACCCTATTTGTGAGAGTAATACAGCCCAGTGCGGTCCTCAATTAGGTATAAATGACACAGCAAATTGGAAAATTAGGAGGAGAGGGAAGGATAATGTGCTCCAAAACAAGCTAAAACCAATTCATTAGGAGACCAGGAAGGAGACAAAGGGTCCATTTCTGTCCTCCAACAGAAAATCCACTTTAAGTTCAGATGCCTTACTGTTCACCTTGTCAGAGGCTATGTTTAGAGGCTAATCTTATCACTTTGAATACCTTACATGTGATATGTAGGGTGTGGAATTACAGGTTGTACTAATGGGTGTAAGTGGAAAGCCAGTGGAATCTCCCTATGTTCCAGTTAGAGAAATGTTAATCATAGTAGAAGAGGATACCATACCTCAATTTAATATGAACA